TATAATAAAATAATTTTGAAAGTACAATGATGTAGTAAGAAAGTCATATCACTATAGTACATGTGGACAGCCTACGTGGACAATGAGGTGGCATGGAAACCTAGTATAATGGGTAAATTTAAATCAAAAGGTTACCCAATGCTATAATGGGTAAATTTTTCAAAGTACAATGTCCTAATAAAAAATAATTTGAAAGTATATTGCTGTAATAAGAAAAACTGAAAGTACAATGCTATAATAAAGAAATTTATGAAAGTAGATTGCTATTTTATGCATTTTGCCCTTTTTTATACTTAAAACTTCACAGCAAAACACTGAGAATATAACGTTCATAGTGTTTTTGCTGTGAAGGTTCGGATTTTTTTTACCTTCACAGTATTTTACTGTGAAGTTTCAAGTGTAAAAAAGTAGTATCATGGTATAAAAAAACAGTCTGATCTCACGTGAACCCAACCTTATATCATATGTAGTTTATCTATACTATATTATAAAGCATTTGACAAAAACTCTTAAAAACCATTTTTTATGCATAAAATATTGTATATTGATGCATATTACTTAAAATTCAAGATTACAAGTAAATTATGCATTAAGTACAACTTATTAAAGCTCATTGTTTGAATTCGTGTAACTAACTACGGATAAACATAATCAAATAGACGATAAACATTTCTTTTTAAAATATAAAAAATCTAAAATATAATTAAGATAATTATCGAATTTCTAACCGAATGTTTAAGTATTATCTTTAATAAAAATTATATTATTAAACCATAAATAAATTACTTTGTTATTATACCTAAATTAAATTATAATAAAAAAATTAAATTAAAGAAGTTAAAACAAAAAAAAACAAAAACTATTAAATAGTTAATTTAATACTAACATCGATTTTTTTTTAAATTTTTTATGTTATCTTCAAATTTATATTTCATTAAAAAATAAAAAACATTATCTCTTTCTCAAAACCGTATAAAATTATATTACATCGGTAGAGACAAATAATAAAAATTAAACATTAAAATTTAAAAAGAAGATTTATCTCGCTACATTGCGCGAGTGCCCTTCTAATTTATTAAAAGATAAAAATATGACAAACTACTTAAAAAAAAGTAAGATAAAGAGGTTTGATAACCATATAAACTAACATGAATATTTGAAATTTCACTTTTGAGATATCAAAATGGAGGTTTTGAGATTATATTACAGAAATTAGATATTAATTTAAAGTATTTTGTATTTTCATATAATTTACTATTAAAAGATTATAACTCTTTGTGTTCTCCCCTTTCGAAATCTTTCCAGATTTCGAAACAAGAGAAAATCACCCAGAGTTCCCCGTTCCTATATCATTTTAAAAAAAAAGAACTCGAGAACACAACATTTCCATTTTCATTCAAATCGCTCCATTTTCTCTCGAAATGTGACTAGCCTTTAGTATCAACTTAATCCGAATCAAAATGAAACCAAAAGATAATATTTTTGAAAATCGAGCTATAAGAGCATCTTCAAGAGATTCTTTAAAAATGGAGAATTAAGGGACTTTTGACTAATTTTTTGCTTCAGCAGATTTTTCAAAGGAAATGTAGATTTAGATATATGCATCTTCGTATGTGAATAATTGGTAACATGTAGGAAAATAAACAAAGGTTTATATATGCATTCTTAAATGGATTTTCTTTTGGGGTTTATCAATGATTCACATATGAATATTTTATTTTTAAGTTCTTACTATTTTGTCTTTCTTATTTGAACCTTCATGTTATGTTAAACTAGAAAGATACTCACATAATACAGCGAGATACATCTTGATTTTAATATTTCATTATATTATTTATTTTAGTCGATGTTATAATATTGTCTTATTTGATTGTGAAAAAACGATGATATTTTTATTTTTCAATAAAATATAAATTTAAAGATATTATAAAAATTTGACAAAAATATATCAATATTAGTATCAAATTAACTATTTAAAATTCCTCATTTTTTGTGTAATTTTTTAATTCAATTTTTTTATTATAATTTATTTTAGGTTCAATAACGAAATAATTTATATCTGCTTTAATAATATATTTTTTCTTGTAAAGATAATAATTGATTATATTATTAGAATTCGATAATTATTTTAATTATATATTAGATTTTTTATATTTTAAAATGAGATGTTTATCTTCCATTTGATTATGTTTATCCGTAGTTAGTTACACGAATTCAAACATGAAGCTTTAATAAATTGTACTTATGCATAATTACTTGTAATCTTGAATTTTAAGTAGGGCAAAATGCATAAAATAGCAATCTACTTTCATAAATTTCTTTATTATAGCATTGTACTTTCAGTTTTTCTTATTACAGCAATGTACTTTCAAACTATTTTTTATTAGGACATTGTACTTTAAAAAATTTACCCATTATAGCATTGGGGAACCTTTTGATTTAAATTTACCCATTATACTAGGTTTTCATGCCACCTCATTATCCACGTAGGCTGTTCATATATACTATAGTGATGTGACTTTCTTATTACATCATTGTACTTTCAAAATTATTTTATTATAGCATCTATTAATTCTTATTAAACACTGTATTTTTAATTTTAATATTTAGATATTTTACATGTTATTTAATAAATGTATTAAATGAATTTAAAAAATTCTAAATTGTTCATTTAATATACAAATATCAATAAAACTAGTAGAACACAACTTATCTCACTAACATTTAAAAAAAATATGTGTTTTTTGAAAAAAGGAAAATAAAAATTGTTTTTTTTTACCAAAAATATTATCTTTTAAAGAATATATAATATTTATTCAAAAACTTTTTACTTAACGTATAAATATATTAAATTAATTAGACTTTTTTGAATTATTTATTAATATAATAATATTAAAAAAATTGTAGATAACAATTTATTTCGTTAATATTTTAGAAAACTTTAAAAGATATGTATTTATTTGAACAACATAAAATAGGAAAAATTACCTTTTTTACAAATAAAATATATCTCGAAAATAATGTTTCATATTTATTTAATAAATATTTTACTCTAATAATATTTAATTTGAATGCAACTTAATAAGAAAAAGTAAAAAAAATGTTTTTTAAATCATAACAATAAAAAATGAAAATCACTAACAATAATTTGAAATAAGTTTTTATTTTAATTTTAGTTAAGTGATCAAAATGATGTGACATCCACATCACCTCATTAAAGCCACACAAATAAAAAAGTCAAAGGGTTAACCGGTTTAAAAAGTAACAGGTTACTCATTGCTATTATGAGTAGATTTTTTAAATTACAATGCCTTAATAAAAAATAATTTAAAAGTACATTGTTGTAATAAATAAAAACAAAGTAGAATGCTATAATAAGAAATTTTATGAAAGTAGGTTGCTATTTCATGCATTTAACCCTTTTAAGTAATATGAATATTCAGTACTTCATGCATAAAAAATGGTTGTTAAGAGTTTTTGTCAAATACTTTATAATATAGTATAGATTAACCAGAAAACACGAATGCAAAACAAATGAACCGACAAGGAAGATGAACATGACAAAGCAACTCAGAAATTTAACGTGATTCCACCACAAATATACGACAAACAAAGGAGGAATCTTATGAAGGAATAAATGTGTTCCTTAGAAAGAAGATGATCAAAGTTAAGGAAAGAGTACCATAAAACACCAAGAGATGAGGAACAGTCGAACAGATTTTATATATATATATATATATATATATATATATATATATATATATATCAGATCAATAACTTTAATGGAAGAATTATACAAAATAAAACAGTTTGGATTTCATATTCCTGCATTCAAATGAAAAGATCTAACAAGGAATCTGTTCAGTAAACCATTTCATGATGGAGAATGGAGCTTTGATCAACGAGATTGCCAACTCTACTAGCACCGTTACACAAAAACAACAAGGGCATAAACAGCTCAAAATCAACCTACACCAATATAGAAATCTATAATCAGCGATAGATTTGCATTTTTTTTCTCAATTATAGAATCAAAATCACAATTTCATACTTCGTTTTTGTTAAATCTGCAACTTCACTTTCAGAAATCATGAATAATTTCAAAATCAAATGTATATTTGATCCATCGTTATGTAATTAGTAGCTTCGTTTCGCAAAAAGCATCAAAAACAACAGTAATGAAATTGAGAAAGAGAGAGAGAGAGAGAGAGAGAGAGAGAGAGAGAGAAACTAACCCTACGATCCAGATGACGATTCCGATCAGAGAGAGGATAAGTGCGACGAAGGCAAACGGTAGGCCTAAGAGAAACCCTAACGGCCTGCATTTACAGTCATCATCACCACCACCGCCACAACAACACATTTTCTTCTACTTCTTGTTGCGATTTTGCTTCTGAATTTGAGATTATTCGATTCAAGTTCCAGTAGATCGTGATGAATTTGGATTTTGGAAGAAGATAAGGGCGATTCTGACGTTGGTTGACGGAGAACACAAAGAAGACGACAATTGGAAGGAAATCCCAAAGAAAATCAACTGCTCTGACCACTACAACTCAACTAACCCCATCTTTGCTTTTAAGTCAATAGCTAAAATTACCATAAATAAGATTTGCCAATTTTATCATATTTAAGGTATGTTTAGCCAATGTTCACCAGTAAAAATGAAAATGACAGAGAATAAAAATATGAATGAATTTTTATTCTTCTAGTTTAACTATGAATGAAATTTTGGACTTCTAAAGAAATGAACATATCTATACTACCTTATAAACCAGATTTGTTAAAAGTTTTAAAAACAATTTTTAATACATAAAGTACTATACATTTATGCACAAAGTCTTAAAAGTCTTAAAAGTAATTCATAATATATTAAGTATTACTACTTTATGCATTTAGTCTTAAAATCTCTTAATCTACAATTAAAATAACATATAGTACAACTACAAGTTACTAATGCACATTATTATTTTTTCTTTTCATGTTCCCAATATACTTTTAACACATTTCACTCATGTCTTTACCCTCTCATACCTCTATGTATTCTCCCCATCCTCCAATGTGAGATTCAAAATGATATTCACCATGAGTCACTCATTTATCTCTCATTCAATTGTTCTAGAACTCTCGGTCTCGTTCTCGATCTCTTGATTCTTTGCTTTGGTGTAAATCGAATACATTTGTGGAGTTGTTTAAATATGTTGGATTTTAAAAATATTGGATTTTAAATATATTGGATTTTAAACTGTCATACAATTTTTTTCATCGCTAGACTGTAATTGTAACCATAACTTTTATTTATTCAAATTGTATTGATATGTAAAGATCAAATGTAACTTATATTATCGTTAAATCTTCTCTAATAAAACCAGTGAAACTTCAAAATCATTAAAATTCACCGCTCTCGCCGCATTGCGTGGATACACAACTAGTTATATTATAGAAAACCAAACAATTTTTTTGATTTTCATTCTCATTAAGATTTTGTATTTTGTTTTGTTTAAACAGGTTTTTTATATTGTTTTTTAAAATAAAAAAAGGTTTAAAAAGTTCTTTAAAACTTAGACCGAGAAGGGATAAATGAATTTTTTTATTCATTTCCACAAATAAAGTCTAATCATTATTATTTTATATTACTTAAAAAAATGCAACTGGATGATAAAATTCTTGAAAACTTTATTAATATAATTAATATTGAAATCTTAAAATTAGAGAATCTGTTAGACTAAAATGCAGTTTTTTTAGAGATTTTAACTTTTGTTCATCTGTTTTAGAGAAATAATATATCTATATTATATTTAAAGCATTTGACAAAAACTCTTAAAAACCATTTTTTATGCATGAAGTACTATTCATTGATGCATATTACTTAAATTTAAGATTACAAGTAAATTGTGTGTATGTACAACTTATTAAAGCTTTATGTTTGAATTCGTGTAACTAACTACAGATAAACATAATCCAATAGAAGATAAACATCTCAATTTAAATATAAAAAATCTAAAATATAATTAGGATAATCATTGAGTTATAACAAAATACTTAATTATTATCTTTATAAAAAGTTATATTGTTATACCAAAAATAAATAAAAATAATTACAATAATACACAAAAAAGGAAAATTTTAAATAGTTAGTTTGGTATCAATGCCAATATTTTTTCAGTTTTTTATGATATATCTTTACATTTATATTTTATTAAAAAAATAAAAACATTATTTTTTTTCTCAAAATCACATAAAACTGTATTATAACATTGAGTGAGACAAAAAAATGAAATATTAAAATCGAGATGTATCTCGCTGCATTGTGTAAGTACTCTTCTAGTAATCTCTTTAAAATACTCTTAACAGAAACAAATAATTTTTTTATCATACAATTAATAAAAAAATCTTGATATTAAATGCTTAGAAAAGATAAGTAATATTGTTATTAAATGTACGAAATATTTTAATAATATAATTAATTTTGGATATAAATGTGTTTCTTTTTTAAGATTTTGAATTTTGATTCTTATTTTTTTTAATGTTGATGATGCTCCTATGATAAAATGACCTTATTTTATCAAAGGTTTTTGGCCTAACGGTATCATAGTCTTTGGTCTTCTAAAAAATCAGGGGTTCAAACCTCACCAAAGATGAGAAGATTATGTAAGCTTATTTGTTTTGTATTTATCGTATATAAATATTATATATTTAAAAAAAATGACCTTATTTTTTAAAATTGCTATCCTTATCCTTTACCTAAATCATGATGATTGATATACATTCATAATGAATGACCATGAATGACCAAGACATGTTGATGTGCTTTGCTTTATCCGAAAACCGACTTTTTGGTGAAAACTTGGGTTCGGGTCGGGTTTGATTTATGGCCACCCAATCCGCCCGAAAACCTGAAATATATATACATATATAATTTAAATATTATATAAATATACTTATTTATCTAATTAACTTTTGAAAATTCTAAAAATCTCAGTCGGTTGTGTTTTTTTTTAATTTCTAAGCATACTATCGATTTATCAATCCTCTAAATCAATTGAATTCATCATCAAAATTGATTGGATATATATATATATATATATATATATATTTTGCATTATAACTAAAACCGAACCCGACCGACCTCAACCCGAAACCCGGACCAACCCGAATCCAAAACAATCTGAAATTCGATCGGGTTTTTGATTTCCCCACCCGAACCCGCTCGATACACACCTCTACTCAAAACCATGCATGTGCATAAGATAAATTCAATAAAGACGATATATAAATATATTATGTTGTATTGCACAAGTACATTCTTAGTTCTTTTAAACTACACCTTTACAGTTTCAAAAATATTTATTTAAAAAAATAATTATTTGCATATTAATAATTTAAACAACTCAATACAATACTTGCGGTTTAAAAAATCTTAACTCAATCCAACCCAAACCAAAGTGTAACTCAATCCAATCCAAACCGTACGGATTGGTCGGGTTGGTTGGGTTGATATTTTGGTACATTAAAATATTCTTCTAACTTTGAATATGTTATTTCTCCACTCGCAATTTATTTTTCAACATTAACCATTTGATACAACTTATTCATACTTCTTAAATCTTACGTATATTACATTCAATTAATTTTCTCAAGTTACTGAATATATATACGAATGAGTTATATAGAGATGGAGAATAGATTAAAAATATGTGTATATGAAGAGGGTACGTGTTAGTGTAATTGTCTAATGTATATATTAGTATAAACTCAACAATCATATTAAATTCTAAAAATACAATAATATTGGGTTCATCGGGTTGGGTTGAGTTCAAATAACAATAACTCAATTTCAACCTAATACCTACGGTTTGAAAATTTTACAACTCGATTAGACATCGGGTTGCTTTATGTTTAGTTATTTTATGTTGTGTTGGATTGGATTGATCTGGTTAGTCGGGTTTTTGAACACCCATACACCACCTTATTGAACCTCTAAAAAAGATTTTTTTTCCATTATCTCAAAAGGTTTTTAAATTTGGTCAAAATAACATTTTTAGTCCCTTTAGTTTATAAATTACAAGATGGTCATCGTGGTTTACAAAAATTCCATTAATTAAAAGGGATTTTCATCATGTTATTGATTTTTTTTGTCTTTTACCAATAAAAACGGTTATTTGGTTTTATTACATGTGATTTATGATTAGATACAATACAATAGAATCGATAAGAATACGAAAAATATCCATTATTTAACATAATTTTTTAACGATAATTAGAGACATGAACCACATTCAAAATATTTTGGTCATCTTATAATTTTGAAACTGTAGGGACGAAAACTGTTACGTCCGACAAACCATGGGGACCAATTTTGTATACTATTATTTAATTGAAAATGTTGACTCAAATAATTGATGCTACTCTGGCATATGCTCCCAAATATCTGTTCAATCATTTCACATAGCATCATATTCTCTCTCAAATAATGTTCTATTTTTTATATTTGTTTTTTAAAAATAAAAATAATTTTAATTCATTGGTGAAAAATAACATATGTTAAGTATATAAATTCCTGTTAAAGTCAAAAATTTTACAGGTGTCTAGTTACAGATATTAATTAATAATTAATAAAATTGAAAAAAAAATATTTGATATATTATAATGTAATTAGGTTAGTTTTTATTAAATCCAGATTTCCATTTCAGATCATAAAACAAATTGGAGGGGGGGGGGTGAAAATTCATTTACGGAAACGTTTGGTTGTAAAATGTTTCCTGAATAGATGAAACATGTCAAAAGAATTAGAATCTGAAAGAAATTTAAATGAAATGTTATCAAATTTGACAAAGTGTTTGGTTGGCAAGAAATGAAATGGATTGTGCTGCTAAATTAATTGGAAGTTCATATAACGTAGCTTATAAAACCAAAGGGCCTTTGGCCTAGTGATATGCGAGTCTTTGGCCTCTTAGCATGTCAAGGGTTCAAATTTCACCAAGTGTAAAGAGAGTGTGTAAGTTTATTTATTCTATTTGTCGTATATAAATATTATATACTTAATAAAAAACATAGCTTATAAATTGAAAATAAATAATGAAAGAAGACCAAAATACCCTTTATTTGAATTTGTTTTTTTTTCTTAAACTATACATAATAGTAAAGTTAGCATTTAATTCATATGTATTATCAAAATAATAATCACATATATTATTGTTATATGTATATATAATTTTATTATATAAAATATAGGGATAAAGAAAATAGGATGTAATAAAATTCAATTCATTTTTTCTTTGTGACGGAATAAAAAACCCATGAATGATAGAACGTGTGGAACTCAATTTCATTCCATATGTAAAAATTACGACTTTCATTCATGTGCTTTCAAATATACAGTTTACGTCACTGTGGTATGTAATTCATTGATGTTTTCGTCCATGAAACTAACTCCGCTAGCGGTTTACTGTTGTGTATGTGGAACAAAAATAATAATGAATTACAAACCATATGGAAAAAGAATGCTATGAACTGTACACGACATAGACGAAAAAACAAGAGTAAACTACGAGTTTGTCAAAAATAACATTTTTTT